CGGGCCTCGCTTTTCCATCTGGCTGGCCCCGCTCCGTCCTGCCCCCAGGCCAGGCAGGCTGGCCAGCCGCCCTCATGTGCTTCTCACGCCCGTGCCAGGTACTCGGAGGTCTCCTGCATGGAGCTGGACAAATTCCTAGAGGACGTCAGGTGAGAGCTGGCGTGAGGCGGGGGGCAGGCGGCTGCCAGGCCCGAGCCCCCAGTCATCCCCGCTGTGTCCCCAGAAACGGGATCTACCCTCTGATGAACTTTGCTGCTGCTCGGCCCCTGGGGCTGCCCCGCGTGCTAGCCCCGCCCCCAGAGGAGGCCCAGAAGGCCAAGACCCCCACGCCCGAGCCCTTTGACTCAGAGACCAGAAAGGTGAGTCCCCACCCTGCTGGGCACTGCCAGGCGGGTGCCCTGCACGGGGCTGGGCCTGGAGTGTCCCCAGCCCCACTCTCCACACTGCTGGAAACCAGGGCCGGGCCGACCCCGCTGTGGAGTTGGGGGTGTTAAGAGAAGCTGGGGTACCCCCTTTCCCAGAGACTCCTTGCCCCTACAGACACCCCTCTCCCACCCCTTGCTGCCTGTGTCCTAAGAGCTGCCCCTGCTCCAGGAGCCCTTGTCGGGGAATCTCACCTGCCCCCGCCCCTCTGATGCCACCCCCTTGGCTTGCTGACTCCCTGACATTCGTGTCCTGGTGCCCCCCACGCCCCCCTCGGCATCATGTTTTCCCGGCCCCTCCTCCTGCCTGGCTCCCTCCCTGCTTCCATGTCCATAACCCCTGGTTCCGGAGCCTCTGGCTTTGCCCTTGTGGGCACCTCTGTTCCCTACCTGGATGCCCCCCCTGCCCCCCTCCCCGCTGGCCTCCTTCCTCTTGGCTCCCCTCCACACCGCAGCCAGAATTCATGTCCCAACAGCCAGCGCTGCCCCAGAGACCGTGGGGCCCTCAGCGGGGCCTGGTGCTGCTCGTTTCCTGTGCTCCGACCTCTGCTTGCCCAGCCCCCTCTGCCCAGCTGTTCCCTGCACCTGTGCAAACCCTCTCACACCCTCGTGAGCGGTGTGTCCAGTCCCGGCCCAGGCCTCTCTGTCCCTCCGGGCCCTTGGAGGTGCATCCGCTCTTGCTCCTCAGTTGCTGAGTCTGAGCCTTTGTGGGTGACCTTGGGCCCCCACCGCCCCCAGGTGATCCAGATGCAGTGTAACCTGGAGAGGAGCGAGGACAAGGCGCGCTGGCATGTGAGCGGGGTGGGGGCGCGGGGCCCAGGCTGGGGGGGGGGAGCTGGGAGTGGGGGGCCC